CGAGTAGGGGGCTTGTTATGAACAAAACAACGACACCCAAAACACGCATTGGAATGGGGGACAACGAATCTGTAGGAAACAAAAGTTGATGTGGGGCCTTATACTCTAGTAACCGAGATGGCATACGGTTGATGATGTATGTAGCACACAGAACAACATCCATCCAAAAGCGTTTTGGAACATTCATATGGAGTAATAAACCATGAGCTACTTCGAAAAGGTGATGGTTTTTCTTTTTAGCAACACCGTTTTGTTGGGGTGTCCTAGCACAAGAGCTTTGATGAAGAGATCCACATGAAGCAAAGAACTCCGTGGGATCACTATGGAAATACTCTTTTCCATTGTCTGACTGGAAAATATGAATTTTAGATGTGGGGCCTTATACTCTAATAACCGAGATGGCATACAGTTGATGATGTATGTAGCACACAGAACAACATCCATCCAAAAGTGTTTTGGAACATTCATATGGAGTAATAAACCATGAGCTACTTCGAAAAGGTGACAGTTTTTCCTTTTAGCAACACCGTTTTGCTGGGGTGTCCTAGCACAAGAGCTTTGATGAAGAGATCCACATGAAGCAAAGAACTTCGTGGGTTCACTATGGAAATACTCTTTTCCATTGTCCGACTGGAAAATATGAATTTCAGTTTGGAACTGAGTGAAAACCATGCATTGAAAGTCTTTCACAATTTTTGGCACTTCATCTCTAGATCGCATAGGGTAAACCCAAGTATATCTAGAGTAGTCATCAATCAAAGTAATGAAGTACTTATGTCCAACCTCAATAGGTAGAGTAATAGGGTCCCAAACATCATAATAGACAATATGAAATAGAAATTCAGATCTTTTATTTCTTAAAGAAAAAGAACTTCTACAATGTTTGCTCAATTGACATGTCTGACACTACAACTTACTAACTGACAAAGACTTAAATACTTTTGAAAACATAACTTTTAATGACTCAAAAGAAAGATGACCAAGACGACTGTAAGTAGGCTTGGCTCTCACTAGACGAACTCAAGGACTCTGTAGCCACAAGACCAACTTTATTCTCCAACACGTAGAGACCATCCACCATGCTTCCTCTACCAATTGTCTTCCCTGTGGCCAAATCCTGAAACACACATGAAGACGGAAAGAAAGTAACTGAATAGTTGGAGTGAGTAATACTGCTAATGGAGAGCAAATTTATAGGCAATTTAGGAACATGCAACACATTAGAGAGGGTAAGGACAAGTGGGAGAGATATGGTTCCTTGGTTGGCTATGGTGGAAAATGAACCATCAACCAGTCTCATCTTATCTCTCCCAAAGAGGAGGTTATATGCCTAAAATAAATTTGACTTACCAATTGTATGGTTTGAGGCTCTAGTGTCAATTATCCAAGGGGAATCAAATGTATGAGATGACACATGGAAAGCAGTGGCAATGTTACCTGATGTAGACGCAAAGGAGGTAGAAGGAGTAGGACTAAAATCCATCTGGCGATGAGTCCTACCATATAACTCCAAATGGTCACGAAAGGAGTTGATAATCTCTTCCTTAGGGTCAGAACTATGGTACCTTTCTTGAGTTACCATGGGACTAGTCTCTTGAGATGCCATATTAGTTGAGCTATATTTTTTCTGATTCTGCTGGATTAGTTTCTTACTCTAATTAGTTGTTGACTTCTTACCCAATTCCTGTGCCCATTTAGGTTTCCTATGGAGGTCCCAACATGTATCTTTGGTGCCTCTTGTCTTTTGACAGCGAGTGCACCAAAGTTTACTCTTGTCATCCACTCTCTTCTGAGAATCACCCTTCTTAAAGGAGCCTCCGACATTAGAATTTATACTTCCTTGGATAGCTAGGGAAACCGACTCCCCCTCTACACAATTCATCACACTTATTCTACTCTCTTCTGACTGGACTAAGGCATAAACCTCCTGAACTGATGGTAAGTCTTTACTTCACAAGATTTGTACTCTAATGGACTCATATGAAGGGTTCAACCCCAAAAGAAAAGCAAATACCTGTTGCTGAGAGACAAGTGACTTGTATGCCTTTGCATCTTCATCACATTTCCAATTCACATTTTGATAGTGATCAGGTTCTTTCCAGATTGATGCCAGATCTGAGTAGTACATTGAGAGACTCCTCTCCCCCTGTTTGCAAGTGGAGGGTTCAGCTTGCAGTTGGTATATCTTGGCATAATGCCTTTGCTCTAAATAAGTAGATTTTGCTTGTTCCCATACTTCACAAGCTGTTTCAGCCCACATGAATGTCTTTCTTACTTGTGGCAACATGGAAACCAAGAGCCATGACATCACCATACTATTTTCTTGGTTCCACTATCATATTCAGAACTTCCATTCTACGGTTCCTTCACTTTCCCATTAATATATCCTATTTTCCCCCTAGYAGTGATGTAGATTTTTATTCCCCTAGACCATTCAAGGTAGTTTAGTCCATCGAAAGGAATTACAGCCATGGGAAAACTTATATCCATTCCCCCACTCACTCCACTTTGACTTCCCGAAACCCCCGAAGTAGCAGAATTCTCAGAGGACATGGTCAAAAAAGAATTTCAGTCTCAACACTCAACTTAGGATCCCTCACACCAAAAAAAACAAAAAAAAAACTTTTACTCCACACAAGTAATCAGTCCACACACACTTCAGTTTGAACTCAAACTAAGCACGAAACAGTACCAATTTCCAGAAAAAAAAGGCAAGATCAGACTGATTTCAGACCTGTACGAGTTAACAGTCCCAACCTACCAACCTTCCAGAATGTCTAAGAACATTAACCATCAGGAGAGATCGTTAAACACTTGTAATCATACCAAAAACTGGAGATAACAGATCATCTGTGACCTACAGTCACCTTTTCACAGGTACAGGATCACATGATCCAAGAAAAAAGAGGTATAAACCTCACAAAGGTCTGACAACATTCAGCAGCCCAGATTCACTTGATTTTTCTCTTGGTACACGACCAAGAAAGGTAAAAGAGAAAAAAAGGACTGTACCACTCGTATATCAGTTTTGTTCAGCCCAGATTCAGTTCTCTATTCTGCCCAAATTCAGAAAGTCGAAATAGAAAGAAAACTTGTTCGATCTGCTCTCACAATCAATAATCCCGCTCTGATACCATCTTGACAGTAAAGCCGACTAGAAATATGAGAGAGAAGGGAGGAGAAGAAGAAGAGAGAAGGTAGAAGAGAAGAAGAGAGATTGGCGACCATGGAATAGTTCTAGCGGCGCCAGATTCTATTAATATTTATAGGGAGTCTAAAATAAAAGGGAAAAAGACTCTTGTGCCCCTGCTGTAAATAAAGTACAATAACAGAAAATAAAAAAGACTTTAAACCCTAACAAGACAGAAAATAATAAACATGAAAAAATAAAATAAACTATTTCAACAGAAAAGAAATGGGTTCAAAATAGGTATGAGAGGGCAACAACCAATATTAGAACACCAGTAGAAGAGACTTCAGATTTAGAGTTGCTATGGGTCTTCACCAAGGTTCAGCACTTGGCCCTTATCTATTTGCATTGATCATAGATGAATTGACTAAACATATTCAGGAGGAAGTTCAATGGTGCTTGTCATTTGTGGATGACATTGTTTTACTTGATGAAACTAATGAAGGATTAAATGCAAAATTAAGCTTATGGACAAATGCCTTAGAAACAAGAGGTTTTAAAATAAGGACTAAAACTGAGTATATGGCACATAAATTTAGTAATAGTGGGAGTGTAAATCAAGATACACTTAGTATTGGAGACCAAGAGATAACTCAATATGACCATTTCCAGTACCTTGGTTCAATAATTCATAACAAGGAAGAGATTGAGGAGGATGTCACCCAAAGAATTTGAGCAAGATGGGCAAAATGGAGGGGTGCATCTTGACTTTTATGTGATAGGAAAATATCACTTAGATTAAAAGGAAAATTCTATAAAACAGTTGTAAGGCCAGTTATGTTGTATGGAGCAGAGTGTTGGGCAGTCAAGAAATAACATGTCCAGAAAATGAATGGAAAAATTGCGAATGTTAAGATGGATGAGTGGAAAAACTAGAAAGGATATCCGTAGGAACCTAGGAGTATCTCCAATAGGTAATAAAATGAGAGAGAGTAGACTAAGATGGTTGGTCATGTGCATAGAAGACCACCAACTGTGCTAGTTAGAAAAAGTGATTTGTTACACATTGAAAGGGCTAGAAGAGCTTGGGGTAGACCAAAAAGGACATGGGTAGAAGTAGTAAGAAATGATTTAAGCACTAATAATTTAACAATGGGTATGGCTTTAAATAGAACGAATTGGTGAAACAGGATTCATGTAGCCGATCCCATATAGTTGGGATAAGGCATCGATGATGATGATTATTGACTGATATCAAAGCGGCTTGAGTTGGAGCCTGTAATTCTATTGCTTTATTCTCTTTCTTTTTTCTAAAATAAAGTGTTACAGTCCAGAAAAATAGAGCAAATGGCATCCCAATTTTGGCAATGGTTTCTTCATCAAAATAGATCATGCCATATATCATTAGACTTCTTGAGCTTGCATGAATTATTGAATCTCTCAAACTAGGCATGAGGTGACTGTTTGAGATCATAAATGGACTTCTTGAACCTGCATACTTTGTTTTCTTCATCTTGATCCTAGGCAATAAATAGTCTTTTATGTCATCCTCCTGTTTTCTCATTCACTAATTTTGCACTTTAAACAGGTTTTATTATTACTTAAGATGGGTATGTAGAATATCTAAACTATCACATTTTGGAACTGTGTGCTTATGAATCATAGATGTTTTTGTTGCAATAAATCTTTGTCAATGCTGCAAACATTACAAATTGGGTTTTCCCATCACTGTTTCTGAGGTTATAACCATTACCTTTACTATTTAGTTAACATTGTGATTACTCTTTATTGGAAAATAATTGGTTTCATATTAGCCATATTGGATATATTATTAATAACCTTTTCAAAATTTTTTGTGTTATTTGATCAGGGTATCCCTGGAGACTTGGGAATCCATCACATTGTTGTAAATGATTGGAAAAGAGGAGTTGATGCTGATCAGAACGTTGTTTTGATCTCTGTACCTACTATGCTGAGTCCAGATTTGGCTCCTCTAGGGAAACATGTATTGCATGCCTATACACCAGGAACCGAACCATTTGGGTTATGGGAAGGCCTTGACCGCAGAAGCTCTGAATATAAAAGACTAAAAGCTGAACGCTCAGAGGTATTTAAATATCAGTATCACAGTCTTAGCACTATGTTATTCTTCTTTGGTCATATTTAGTTCCTTACAGCATGAAACATTGAATCAGAGTTCATGAAAAGAAAAATACTTCATAATATTTCTTACCATTATCATCTTAATTTTCCGCTTTTACCATATCATAATCTAAATTCCAATAGATAGTGACTCCATTGTTTATCTTCTGTCTTCTCTCTCTCTCTCTCTCTGTCTCAGGTAATTTCTTAAATTGTCCCAATATACCCAAATATTTGACCCTTGATGGATCTCACTGGTTAGCATATCAAAGATGGTTCAATCCAAAACCTAGTGCAGTATCATAATCAAGTTTAGGGTTAAGTGAAACCTTCTAGTTTTGCCCATCTATCTCCGAGGTCCAAAGAATAATTGAAAATTGGTCGGGGTTCAGTGTTTCTTCCAAACACCCACTAGTTGAGCTTGGGATCTAACCATAGCAGCTGAGAAAAGCTACTCCACCAATTCAACAACACATCAATGTCAACATTGTTAGGATAAACTCCCTAAGTCTATCCAATGATTGAGAACATTCTAAACTAACATGAGTCTCGTAATTGTCCAGTTAAATAATTCAAAAAAACACACCAATTTAAATATAAAACAATAACGTACTTTATTCATTTACCCATAAATGTTTGTATGCAATAATCTGATTGGAGCCAAGGGCATACACTGTCTTAACAATTCAGCCCAACAGTTGTCATTAATTTGACTTGGGTTTCAGCCACCTTACGAGCCCAAGCCCAATGACCTAAACTAAGAAATGTCCATCAGGTTTCTAGAAAACTTTGCTGATTTTTTTTAGATTTTCCAAATATCTTAGATAAATCAGCAAAATATCTCCAAAATATCTCCAACTCTACATGGTGAAATGTTCATCGATATTAATATTACAAACCATACTACTGAATTTGAAATTAAACAACTTAGGAGAGTTTTAGTATTTCCTAATGATTGAGATAGCTCAATCCAACTACCTCAACCCAAGCATAGATTATTTCTTTTAGAGGAAATGTGTTTTGACTTGTTCAATGATACTAGTAAATTGGTTGTTTGACTAGTTAATATACTTTTTTATCCAAGCCATAGACTGTTTGCATCAGATGGCATGCTTCTCAAAGATAAGAGGAATGTTCAGCATCTGGTCAGAAGGTGATTTATGCATGATATATCCTAACATAATCATATCTTATAAGTATTATTGGCTAGCATGTGAATGCTTTCAGGAACAGTCACTTGATTACTACAGAACAGATTTCATTGCTAATCAAGGCCTCATTATTGAGGCATTAACAAATTCTAATTGATCTGGTTCTGTAAATATCATGCTCTCCACTTCAAGGTATTGTTCTTTGATTGGCAGAAACTTAGTTTCTTGGAGAAGCAAGTAGTCTGTTGTGGCTCAGTCTAGTGTTGAGACTGAATAATGGGGAAATGACATATGTAGTGTTTAAGATGTTGTATCTATGTTCTATACTTGGTGGATTGGAGATCGAATATGATATGAAAACCGAAAATAATGTATTGTAATAATCAGGCAACTCTCTATACAATTCAGAACTCAATTCAGCATGATACAACTAAACATATAACAGGTGTTTCATTTTAATGAAAGTGAATTTTGGATGTGTGTCTTCCATTTAATGCTTTATAAGAATAGCTCTTTGATGTATTCACTAAAGGATTTGTTAAATCTAAACTTGACAATTATGTAATCAAGCCAGATGTGATTAATATTAATGCTCGGTTTGAGGGGCAGTGTTGAGAAGTTTAGATTCTTATAGAGGAGAAAATTGTTAATGATAGGTAGTCCTTACCTATCCATTTTCAGATTAATATATAAACATAAAGGGGCTGCTCACACATCCCACAATTGCTGCTTTCCTCCTGTCATTCTTTTCTCTTCCTCTTCTTTCTGCACATTCAGCTAATTTCTTGAGACCAAAAAAAGAAAAATTGTTTATTTTATTAATTTGCACATTGGAGAATGGTCAGTATTCCTCCCAAGAAAGTCCGAAACCAACAACCCTTTCATGTGAGATAAATGCAACCTCTATCAAGATCAAAGATTTTTAGCATCTTACTGCTAAAGGGAGAATAAAGTGAGTTGTTTGGATTCTATAATGGTAACTATCAGAAGAGAATCAGAGAGAAATGAAGAAAGAAAGAATTTGAGGTAAGAATGGAAAAAGGGTTAGGAAGATGGAAGATGAAGAGACAGCAGTGAAATAGGCATAGGTCTTTAGTGAGAATTCCTCATCTCATGTCAGAGTTAAGAGAGTAGTAGTTGTAGTTGCTGGAGTGTTTACACCAGAATTAGGATCAATGCATTGTTTTGTTGAATCCACCCTCATTATTTTACCAAGTGTTCTGCATTGTTTTTCATTTGAGGAAGACCATTTCATATGAAATATTTTAAAAGTGATTGGTAATTCTTGCATAGTTGATAACTATGCCTTAAAATCCGTGTGAAACTTTTATTTGACTAAAATATCCTTGTTAATGAATTTGGTCCTTTACTAACTGTGAGGGCAGAAAATGTAATTTGAACTACTATTTTTCACTTCATTCAACTCTCTCTCTCTCTCTCTCTGAGGTATTAACTCTCATTCTCTTTCATTATATCCTATATATAAGGTATTTTTCTCATCAATAAATTCTATTAATTAGATCTATATCCAGTACTTTTGACAATACAAAACCCATGCTTTTTAAAACCGATCCAAAAAGGAAACAATTCTAATGCCTAGGAAGTAGGTATACAATTCAACCATCTAGGTTAAATGGGTCAACCCATGATGTCATAGTTACATTTTTATGAAATAGAAATAAAAACAAAAATTACAAAAAAAAAATGTAAAAAAACTGATCACATCTCTAATATTTTATATTCATCATATTAATGAAAAACAAATGTGCTAAAAATAATTGTTTTTATTGATGATGAAAATGAAATAAAAAATTTAAAACTAATCCAAAAATGAAATCGTTTCCCTTTTGGTTGTAGATCAAACAATTCAGCTTTTTAGATCAGATATGTCAACCCTTGATGTCATTATTAAATAATAAAGAATTAAAAAGGTAAAATTATAAAATAATTACAAAAAGAGTACATAAGTTTTGCAGAAAACATTTGGGGACAATATATTCATCATATTAAACAAAAATAAGTGTTATAAATAAAAATTATTACGATCACAGAAATGTATAAAAAAATTGTAGAAAAAGTTCAAACGCATTATTTCATCATTAGCCATGTTTATGCAGCTTTATACACACGCATAGACAATTTAATTTATTATTATAGAAATCAAACTAATAAGTTGGACCCACATAAATGTAAAATGTCCAAAATAAATTGAAAATACAGAGTTACATAAAAATCCCAAAAAAAAGCTCCATTTTTTACTCTGGCTGCCACATCAATTTGTCTCTGGACAGTTTGACATGCAGAGCAGGATTGGTGTAGCTGATGAAAAAATATAGATTGGATAAGGCTTAATTGAGTTGATTTCAACAAAAAAAAGCGTACATATTTAAACTGCTAATTGAAGAAATATTTAACTAGTAAAGTTCTGTCTCTGAACAATATTACCCTTTAACAAAGTCTTGAATCTATTAAGATTTATGAAATGAGGCATTTCTGTTGACTCTTTCATGATCTTAGGTAATGTGGAGAGCAGTGGAACGTGCACTTGGTCCAGGCTTTCGCCGTGAGAAATGTGAGGTGAAGTTAGTAGGAACACCACTGACACATCAGAGGTTTCTTAGGAGGAATAGAGGTACATATGGGCCAGCTATACAAGCTGGCAAAGACAGTTTTCCTGGACAATCAACTCCAATCCCACAACTTTTCTGTTGTGGGGATTCTACTTTTCCAGGTATTGGAGTTCCTGCAGTTGCTGCTAGTGGTGCCATCGTTGCCAACTCACTGGTCTCTGTCTCTCAACACTCTCAGCTTCTCGATGCCATTGGAATTTAATTGAATTGGTCATACAAGGCCTCTTTGTCCCAATTTACTTCATTGATTGGTTTAATCATAGAGACCACTGCTTGGTGTAATGGTATAGAATCTCGGGTAACCGGGGCCACTGCTTGGCGTAATGGTATGGTATAAAATCTCGGGCAAACAAGTTCAAACGAGTTCTATTTATTTGTATATTGTTTTCATACTCATTTTTCTCAGGTAATAGTATTGCAAACAATTGCATTTCTTTTTGTACAACTTTGTATCGTGTAATCTATGACATGCATTAAACAGCCACAGGACATTGCTGTAGAAAAATATATGTCCACTGTTATTTTATCCCAACTAAATTGAATCCTAATTCTAGAAATATATGATGTCGTAAAGACATGATATCGAAAAATCTTTTATCACTAAACCTCTCTGGTTAAATTTTGATGAAAACCGACCTGATTGATTACCATTTTTATGATGATGGTTGTTGGCTAAAGTTCGCCATTATAGCCGTTTTGATGCTACCAAGGTTCAAAATATTGGAAATGCAAAGTGTATCAGGAAGACAATTCTAAAATATGTATTGAGATATGCTTTGGATGCGCATGGAAATGGACGAAAAATCAAGATATGCATGAATAGACTAGAAAATTTAGATAAATCCTATAATATATATATATATATATTTATATATTAATAACAATAAATATAAGTTTTAGATGAGCATAAATAAGACTTAATCATAAAAAAGCCATACTTTAATGGTTTACATACATTGTCAAACATCGGGACACAATTGGTAACAATTGATAGAAGGATTAAAATGTAATGTATATACCCTAATTATTAGAAATTCAATATGATTTGTTTCCACCAATAAAAGAAAATGAATATAATTTGTTTTAATATTGACTAGTATATAAATTTTAGGGTTTTGACTATGATGCTAGAAACACATGATGTCGGAAAAACTTATAACCAATCAACCGAGATCATAAAAGTGGGTAACTAATCAGGTGGGTTTTTATTAAAATTCGTTGAGGGAAAGGGGTTGATTGGTCAATGTCTCTCCGATATCATGTCTTTCTGACATTATACATTTTTCCTAAATTTCAATATTCGATTTTGACATTTATGATCATCACAACTTAGTGACTAGGGTTCAAATCTTCTTATCTTTTACTTGCAGTTCTATAGTTTGTTGAAGAGCATGTTGAAATTCCAATTTGAATTTAATGATGTGTTTAAAATTAGAATTGGCCTTAAATGTTGGAGTTAACATTAAACATATGAGTTATTAGTAACCATGGGATTAGACAAATTTGAATTTGAAAATAATTAAAGAGAGGGAGGAATTTGAAAATTGTTATAGGGGACTATATCAGTGGATGAACATAGTATCAGTTTGTATCAGATCCATATCGGAAGATACAGACCCAAAACTTGTATTGGCCCGAAAAGGATGCAAAGAATTGAAACTCTTCATTTCATTGTGTTCCATGTATCAGTTCAATGCCCGAATATATGATACAATATCGGCCAATACATTGATTTTTTGAACCTTTAGGCCCTGTTTGCTATTCGGTAAGTTACTTACCTAGGTAAATGCAGTTACCTGGGTAAGTTTTTCTTGGGAAACACTTACTTGGGTAAGTGCATTTACCCATGTTCTTTTATTTCTCATATAAATAAGGCAATGACCATTTTAGCCATAAAAATTCATTAATAAAAAGGGCATTTTTGTCCCATTCAAGTGTTAGCAAATTTCCCCCTAGGTGGGAAAGTTATTTAGCCACCTAGGAGATGGATATCACTTACCCGGGTAAGTGATACTCAGGAAAATAAAGTTTCCCTGGTCCCCACATAAATCTGAAAAAAGAACATGGGATTCTTGGTCAATGGGAACCAAAATCCCATTGACCAACTTTCCCCCTCTCAAAATCTGAAAAAAGAATGCCCCCTTGATGCTACCTCGATTTAGTTGAGAGTATCTATAAGTACAAAAAAAAAAAAAAAACATTACATGGAAATGCAAAGACTACTTTGTGGGCTCCTTATTTTGCATGGATTGACCCAAGTAGACAAAAAACTAAAATAACAAGAAGAGCCATTAACTAATGTTTGTCCAAACTATCTAGGGTCTTTGAAGGGGTGACTTGGTTTCATACCTAACCTTTTGCATTTTATCTTGTGTAAGGGCTATATATCATTTTTCTTACTTTTGTTTCTATAAACCCATTAACCCAACCTTCTACAATGGTTATAGCTCAATATCGGTGGCCATTACTCTTTTATTGTTTTGTTTCTCTCTTTCAATCTTGTAAGGGCATTTTGGGGTGGGGCTTCACTAATTCTTTTGACACCCTTGAAACTACTAGTAAGTGTGAATGTGCTTTGCATGTGGCAATTCTAGATGATGACAATAATAGGAATAATGTATCTAAAATTTTCTATAAAATTCATATACTTGTTATTTTTTTATATTTGTTGTTTTTAACTATTATTTGGTTGTTGATTGCAAAATCCAAATTTGATTACGCAAGCACCTCATATTGGGCTACAAAGTTTTGGGTATCATTGGCAAGCCTACCTATTTGGCTAGACTCTTCTTTTTGTAATGTTTTATCTTCTTAGTGTATATTTCTTTGATTATTTATAAAATATGTAAGATTTAAAGAGGGGGAATTCAAGGAGGTCAAATTGTAGTACAAACTGCATTTTAATCCTCACAATTAAATAGGGATTTAATTCAAAAAATGGATATTTTAGTCAGAAAAAAGTTTCACAATTTTATTCATATGTTTAATAGTAGTGTAAATATGGTGTTATAGATGTGCTCAATTTTTCTATATATTTTTTTTTATTTCTATGTATGTAAAAATAATAATGTTATTTGCACTTAATTTTTGTTTAATGTGTTAAATATATGATATTATACATGTGCTCAAATGCTTTTTTTTTTGTAAAATTTGTGTTTTTTACATTTATTAATTTTTATTATTTAATTATGACATTAAAGGTTAATAATTTTGACCCAAAAGTTGAATTATTGATCTTTGCTAAATAGGAAAATAATTTCATTTTTGGTTAGTTTTACATTATGTATTTTATTTTCATCATCAATAAAAATAATTCTTGTTAATTACACTTATTTTTTTTTAATTTGATTGATAAAAAATTCTCATAAACGTGTCTATTTTTTCTACATTTTTTGTAATTTTCAATATTTATTTATATTTAAAAATTTTATTATCAAACTATAACTTCATGGGTTGGCCAATTTAATTTGGATAGTTGAATTGCATAGTCATCACTTGGATAAAGAATGACTTTTGTTTTTGAGTAAGTTTTAAAATATATGGGTTTATATTGTTAAAAGTATTGGACATAGATCTAATTAGTAACATTTATTAGTGAAAATTTAACTTAAATGTGGGATTGAATAAGAGAGAATGAGAGTTAATACATTAAATACAAGAATTAATGAGAGGGGATTAAATGAGGTGAAAAGCATTAATTGAAATTACATTTTCAACCTTCATAGTTAGAAATTGACTAAATAACAAATGTGAGCATTTTAGTCAAGTTTCACACCCTCATTCGTACTTTCTATAATATTATAGATTTGCTCTCTCTCTCTCTCTCTCTCTCTCTATTTGAACTAGGAGGTTGGCGTGGTATTAAAGCAGGTCCCTCAAACATGTCTTTCATTAAAACCTGCTGTTAGGAATTTGAAGGAAGATCTATGGATGTTAGGTTGATTGATTTGCATCTGGTTAGAAGTTCTATGGAGGTTATTCTGATCAGCACAAGTTCTTTGTTTTTTTTTCGAAAATCATAATCAGCCTTAAGTTTTCTTCTTTTTCTCTTAATCGGCTGTACCAATCAACTTGAAACTCTAGATCTTAAGTCGCCCAAATCATTTTAAATATTTCTACAATTATTTTCTCGATTGAATTGGATTTGAATGTTCTTCCATCTTTTTTATTCAACAGTCCGATAAACTTACCTAGATATTCACATGTTAACACCTTCATGTGGCTATCTTTAACTGAATATTGATCTCTTTGGCGTTTTTGATTATCCATATCACTGTTAATAAGTTTGGATTTGTATTGGTGGGGCAATTGCCTTGGTCTTCTCCCTCTCTCTCTCTCTCATGCTTTGGTTCATTATTGTTATTCTTCTAAATTGTGCTTATTTATTAAGATGGTTAACAAGTTGGTGTTATACCAATGAAATTTGATGGGGTTAATTATAGCATGTGGATGTTCCACTTTGATTTATTTGTTGAGGGAAAAGGCCTAGAAGGTTTTATCTAAATGGTAAAGTCACTAAACCTAATGAAATTGAAGCCAAAGCATTTCAATAATAGAAGCTTGATAATGGAAAACTAGTGTTTTGGATTCTAAGTTCTATAGAGACCCATATTGATGTATCTAGATGAAAAATGCGAACATCTTATGAGATGTATCCTTGTATGAAGAAAGTCTACTATCAATAAAAGATGTCTAGGCAATATTAATTGAATTTGAAATTTTTGCTTATTGCCAAGGGGATAGGAAGATACAATTATTATGCAAGATATTTAGAATTCTGAGTAGCATATGAGTTAGTCCATATTGATTCTTCATATTCTTCTAAAGTATATTAAGTGTCTTCGGAAACATTTTAAGAGATGGAAGGTGAATTAGTTTCTCATGAAACTTAGACCTGTGTATGATATAATTATGTCTAATAGTGTGATGATGCTCTAGGTTTCTCATCAGATCTTATAACATGCACTAACTTTGGATGAATTTGATCAATTTCCTCATAATTAGGTTCTAGTATGGCATCTATAATTGAATTAACACATGGGTTGTTATTTTTTGCATGGATGCTTTTGCATGGACTTATTTAAACATCATGTTGTAGGTCTAAGTTGTAAGGCATTAGAGATTTCTACCTAAAAGACGATAAATGGCAGTGGCGGTGTTCTCTAGGAGGGCTAGGAAAGTTGGAGGTCTCAAACTGGAAAGCTTACGTAGGGCTCAGGATGGATGTCATCTGGAGATCCTTAGATATCCCTTATTAATAGAGACTAGCTTGGAAAAGGAGTGAAACTTTCTCACTTTGGGAAAGCAGTCCCATGTTCATTGGATCTGAAACAAGTAAGTTGGCTAAGGGTTTACCACATGTTCATGCAGCTACATGGTACTGAGGTTTCCACTTCTTTTTAAAATCCACATGTGAGTACAAGTGCAGCTACTCCCCTTCTAGAAGCTTGACCATATGCATCACAAGAGACATTACCCTAAAGAATGTTTAAGTGTTTGATTCAAAGTAATCGAGGGGAATTAAGAAAAAAAAATCAGTACTTTTCTTTTATA